CCCCAGCACAAAACGGCCATTATTGCGTCGATGTGCTTCTCTTAACTCAAACAAAGCGGAAAATATAGCACTGAACTTGATGCTTTGAGATAATCTCTGACTCGCACAATTCTATTCTCTCATTCGAGAGTAAAAAACGGGCGTCAAAATACTGGATTGCGAAAAACTTACGAAATTTAGCCACTTGAAATTGCTGGATAACCAAGATGCCCCAGTATGTAAGTCATCCAGATACTCAGACATAAAAGAGTGGCCTGAAACCAGTATTTGAATTTTGTAACAACGTGATGCTCGTTTTGATCACAACAAAGTTTCCAAATTAAATATCTTTTAGTCTTAATATGTGGATTACATTTATGGTGAACCAGTTTTTTTCTATTTCATGATTATGATCCTTATAAAGTTTTATTCATATTGGGAGATGGAGTGGGAGTTCGTTTCAGGTTGTAAGTCACGGAAGAATACAATGGAACTTGCACGTGTACAATGTACACTGTTTCACAAATAAACTATCTTGTGTGGATGTGTAGTCCAGGGGAAACAATCGTTAAAATAACAGAGAGATGCGATAAAGGGAAACAATCAGGCTTCCGGGTTTGAACAAACTCTTGCGAGTCACACATATTTCACTTAAACCTCCCCCCGCCCCAACCACCCGCACTAAAGAACATAGCTTTTGTGGAGACTTAATAGATGAAATGAATATCTAATGTTAGAATTTCAAAGTAGTGTTGTGTGATCTCATCACCTCGCTTGTGTCCATTTGTTAATACACAAACTTAAATATTGGGCATTCCACAAATTAAACATAGCCATAGCCCAGAAATCCACCTTTTCTACAGAACAGCACTAAATGATATAACAGCTGCCTGTCTCCTACACTGGACACAGAGAATACTCTCTATAATAATACAAATTTAAGCTATTGAAGAGGCACAGCTATCACTCAAGTTATTTAGATCAATGGCTAAAACTTAAATATTCAAAGGAACAATGACTGCTTTTTAGAGTTTTGGTCACCCCTTGGTGCTCATATGACCTTATGCAGTTGCGAGCTCCGTAAAACCTTACTAAAATTTAAAGTTTTGGAAAGAGTGAACGTATGAGATTAATTAACGGCACTTGCCACCCAAACAAGTCACAAAAGTGCCAAAGATTAGAGGTGTTACGACAGAGGAACATACAAAAATAAAGAAAGAGGAGAGATAAGAACAATAGAAGTTTAATTTAGCATCTGCGTTTGTCGCGGCCGCGACCTGCAAATTGCGGCCGCGATTTTTGGCATTTTTTTATCTTCGAATCACGGCCGCGATTTTGGCATTTTTCAAAAAGATAAGGCTACTTCATGTGTATTTTGATAATTTTATGGTGTCCATGTATACTCTGTCACATTTTTAAGTATACACTGTGTTAAAATGAAAATAGCTAGTTTCACAACGAGTTGATATTCTTTAAAATTTCAGGAATACGAATTCAATCAATTTTAAAAACGAAAAAAGCAACAACAATACGGAATGTTGACACAACAGGTTTATTCATGACTTATAAGAGTGTGGGGGTGGTCTACAAAAGTAACACAATCAGTAGAGTTGATGACGGCCTGACATCTCGCCGCCTTGAATCAATCAATCGCTGCACTGCCTTTTGAGGGATGTTATTCCACTCTTCCTGCGATGCTCTCTCAAGTTGAGGAAGTGTCTGAGGCTAGGGTTGTCGCATGTTGTTCAACTCATCTCTGGTTCTTCTAACCGTTTTGAAACGATTCCGTAGATGCGACAGGCGTATAAAAAGATCCTCTCTTGGAGTAGTTTTTCTTCTCTCACGTTGGCGGTGTCGATCCTTTCCTGATTTTGGTGTTTTCTCACGATCCAATGTTGTGTACACAGGTCTTTTTGTTATATTAAAATGTCTCGCAACTGTGGATACTGAGCCCCCCCCCTCCCCCCGCGCGGATTTTTTCCAACTAGCTGATTTCGCACTTTTTCCTGTACGGTGTGACATCATGAAACGTAGACAAGACAAGTTTATCCCTGGCGAATTGTTACAAAAATGGCAAAGCTTTGATGTGTGCTTCTTTTTTAAATAAATCATTGCCGTATCATGATTAATTTTCGAAAAACACGAAACATGCAACATGCATGCAGTTACAAAAACCACTCATGCGTTCAGAAATCTCAAAGCAGCTCACCAGCGACAGGTATATCACGTAATCAGTGTGTAAATTTGAAAGTAATTGGTAGCATAGATTTTGTTTTATTGAGCTTCAAAATGTGTATACTTAAAAATGTGACAGAGTATATAGTTATTTTCACGCGAAGATTAAAAATAAGTACATTTCATACTATTTATTATATTACTGTTTGTCTTTTATTTTTCCCTCTTGTGGTAATTTTAGGGGGGTTATTTTTCTGATCTATTTGTGTGTGTGTTTAAACAGCGTAATGTCAATTAATTTTTATGTTCCTACATTAAAAATTTTTTTTTATATATATATATATATATATATACAAATGTGTTATGTTAGAGTGTGTCTCCACCAAAACCGAATAGTGGCAGTGGCAGGCCCTTGTGTGTGATTCCATAATTTACATCCTGTACTTTTTCTTGAATTAAACACCTTTAGGGTTAAAACAGCCAATCTTCCCATAGGTGGACACACGCCCTTATTTGTTACTTTTTGCGGTTGTTTGTGTGCTGTTCTAATTTTGATTTCACTCTGTTGTGAAACCTTTATTTTCCACGTTTATACGCTATGTGGCTACAAATAATATTCTGGATGCTTAAAACAGAGCACAAGAAATTCTGGTGCTTTAGATTAAGTTACCTCTGTCAATATATTGCATCATCACAGCTAGTTGAAAGCTTGAAAATTATTGTCAACTTTTTTGGCAACTTTTGGCATTTTTGTGGCAACTTTTGGCAACTTTTGGACAAAAAAATGGCAACAAACGCAGATGTTAGTTTAATAGGAAAGAAGGAGCAAACAACACCAGTGAGCCCAACAACCACACACTTGACAACAAGTGGGTTTTCTTTAGTCGCAAGCATAAAAAAGCAACTAGACACATGTAAAGCACAAGTAAAGTAATCAACTTTTGCCCACTTTTATTCTTAAATTTGAGACAATCCAGAATGAATCCAAGCAAATTGTGGTTCATTTCTTGTGTGAGGACAAGTCAGAACAAGCCCTACATCTTTACTATACACATCTTTCTTTCATTGTTACAAAAAAATGAGTAAAAATGTCAGAAAATACAAAGAGATACCATATGATGGTGAGGTTTTCTCAAAGTGAGATCACATGCCCGGTATGTCATGTCAACACTTAAATACTAACCTCTGTACCAACAAGTGGTCTTATTTTGGCTATATGAATTTTTGGTGAAAGCAGATGAATCAAATTACAAGAACGCTCTATATAAACTATACATCCTATTGTCACATAATCTAATTTAGAGAAAATTCCATTAAAGATGACTCACATAAACATTCAAACATACATTTCATTCACAGCATACATGCAAGTTCATAAATTCAAAATGTACAAAACCATGCACAGAATGTAAACTTAAGTTTTCGAATATGACTGCTTTCATTTGCATAGATGGGAAAAAAAAACAGGTGAGGTTTTCAAGGGTGTAGAGTCTGATTGGCTTTATATAAAAGTTGTACAGCACTGAAGAACAAAACGGAAAGCACACTAGGTGCCCTTGCTTTTTGGTAATTTCCGTTGACAATTCGGAAAAGAGCAGTCCTAGGTTGATTCCTCTTCTCTGTACATCTACCCTTCTCCCTCTGAGACCTAACATAGACAACACACTCTTTGGAACATTACAGCAACTGCAGCAGACCTGCACTTATCACTACATGGCATTGGACAGAAGGGCGAGAGCCCAGCTGTTGCTGGATCGATAACAACAACAACAACTCTGTACATCACATCTGTACACTGGTTACTTTTACCATACTGTTGCAGGGGAATAATATTTTAATTATATATATAATATGCCCACTTCCCAACAGCAGGTGAAGCTTAACCTTTCTCTCACACAAAAGCATGACCTACACAAGTGGCAGGGTGTCAGTGGGAACGCAGCCTTCTGCAGCCCTTTGCACGAGATGATAGAAGAAACTGATACATTACCAGTGGAGAAAAATTAACTGATCCACCCAACTGAAACCCTCTTGCTCTCAGTAAAATCCATTCTTTGATAATATGCTCTTTGGACATCACAGAACTGTATTCAAAATTCTAAAAAATATACAGACAGTAATCTGAAAAGCTTGTAGCAGAGCAATGCTTGTTCAGCTTCATAAACTTTTGAAACTTAAGAATATGCTATAGAGGGTGTATCTTTTATCACATTCTTCGTGCTCACTGCTGCTGGCATGCATTACTGTAATTAGCCAGATATTATAACAGCTATCTATGAAGTGACAGAAGAGTCCCACAAACGACTATTATAAGACACTCCACCCACAACTATCCTTAAAACACAACATATTTAAGTCCTAAAACTAGTGCAAAAAAGCAAACAGTTCAGATATAATGCATCAAACTTTGAAGGGGAAAGGGGGGGGGCAATAATGAGAGGGTCATTGATCTTCATCAGCTCAAAGATTCATCTATGCAGAGGATTTGAAAACACTGTTAAGATGCTCAGAAAGAAAAATAAGACGCTATTATTCTGATGTCTTGGTTTTAAATTTCAATAGGCTTTGGCACAGGTTTCCGGACATGTCTCATTGTTGAACCCGCCTCGCTGGGTTTGAAAGGAGCATGTGCACCATAGGGGCGGGGGATGGGGAGTTCGCTTTCATCGTCAGGAATGTAGGCGTTTGGTCTTGGCTCGGCTGTGGTGTAGACTCCACCTGCAATCTTGTACTGCTCCTCTTCCTCCTCCATCTGAAACAAAATCAGACAGAGAGAGAGAGTGAGTGATCATTAAGGGAGCTTGAGATAAAATACTTAAACAAAAATCTGTCACTATATTTCAGAGGAATGTGAGCTTGTGAATTGATACTAAACAACCTATGCAAGCTGCAGGCTCCATCATTGACCCCAAAATTATACTTGGTCATTAAAAGCTATTTGGTTGTTTTAGAATGTATTGTTTTCCATTTACTTTCACATACAAAAAACCCAACTAGACAACACATTGTAGTTTTATTGAAGGTGGAGGCCAAGGCCCCTTAAGCTAAGGTATATTGTAAAAAGGAGCAACATTCTAGGTGAAATGAAAAAAAATTCCCATTCCATCTGCATTCAAATTCCAAACTACTACAAGCTGATCAAGCTCACAATGAACTGTGCCTCAGTCGTTTGTCTTAGTTTTGGTAAGAGTTTTACGGCACTTGCAACACAATTACATTATGTAAGTGCCAAAGATAAGAGGTGTTACAAGAGAGCAACAATCATAAAAAAGGAGGAGCTGTAAGGATCATAGTTGTTTGAAAGGAAAGAAGAAGCAAACCACACAAGCACTGGCCAACCACCCAGGCAGAAGTTTGTCACAAAAATTTGCTAAATTGAATGAATTAAAAGTCCAAAGAGAAAAATAGATCTTGTTGTATGTAGAGGACTAGGTTTTGTAATCAAACCAATACAGAAAGAAGGAGAAAGAAAAAAAGGGAAGGAAAATATCATACAAGCTCGTCACCTCGGCACAGATGTCAATGGCCATTGATATTTCATCAGAGGGAATGTGCTCCCTGCTGATGTACAGTGGATCTATTTATATTGATACCCAACCTTCTGCCAGTAGAGCAGGAGGTTCATGAAGAGAAAAACCAAAAGGGTGAATAGAAAGCCATGATCAAGAGCCTACCATTCTTCTGTTCTCTCCATCCTCCATCCTGCGCTGAACATCCCTGATCATGCGCTGCCACTCTAGCTCCAATTCCTGCGAGGGCGGCTCCCCTTTCTCCATGCGCAGGTAACATTGCTCGAGCTCTCCCTCCTTCTCCTTCACCTCCTGCTGCAGTCTCATGGCCTGCGCCTGGTTCATGGACAGCTCCGACACCAGCGCCATCATCTTACGAGTTGTCTCTTTGATTCGAGCTTGAACACCATTCACCTGTAAAAAGTTTGAGACTGCGTTAAAGAACAGAACATTAACACAATTCTGTAGCACACTAACACAATTCCGTAGCACACTAACACAATTCTGTTCTGTACATGTAAACTGGACTTTTCAAGATAGAGTTATACAGTTTGAAAGTCATAACTTGAGACGTATACATATCGAATTAATGTTATGATACTGGAAACCAAAAGGTGTCTTTTACCACTATAAATAAGTACAATAATCAGTTCCAAGCAGGTGTCGAGAAAAAAAAAAAATCATCATTCACTGAGGCCAACTTTACTTCCTTTGCAGCTACCCCAACATACACCACCAGTGACCACCAACTTACACTCTTGGCCAAGTTCAGTGTGTCGTCTTTGCCCACTTCTGCCTTGTTACGGATGCGGCCGACAAGCCTCTCTACTTGCTCGAAGATCAAATCTTTTTCCAAGAGTTGTTCCTCTTTCTCCGCTAATCTTGTCTCCAGCTGTGTCAGGAGATAATAAAATGACCAGAATGGAAAGATTCGTATACATTTAATTTATTCAAGAGAGAAACCACACCATCCCTAATCTCTCGTTTGCCTCATTACAGAAAAAAAATGTGCTTTAATAATAATAACAACAACAACAACAACAATAACATCAATAATAATAATAATACAATAATAAAAATAATAATAATGATG